CCTGCTGACGGTATTTACTACTTAAAAATGTTTACATGTATTTTAGTAATCAGAGACTAGAGGCAAATAATGCTTGCAAGTAGTCGAACTTCAGATTAAAAATTGTATCACCTACGCAAAACTGATTATTGTCAAAACATTACAATTTTCAGAGATTAATTACAAATCAATTGGTATACCTTTGCGACGACCCTAGTATCTTTATTTATACTAAATCGTTGTGTGAGCCCTTAAGGGTTAGCAAAAGTACGCTACCAAGCGCAGTTTAGTGGCCTCGCTAATAAGTTGCGATCGCGTTAACTGCTACCGCCGTCCTGTGTATTTGTAATAAATCTGATTTTTTGTAGTTGTTGTAGTGGTTCGAGAAGGCTTTTGTAGTAAGCGTGTATATTTAACTAACTTAAGTTGCTCGTCGTCAGTCCGAGTTAAGGCTGTGAGTGAAGTCAGTTAGCGTCAGCACAAACGTCCATCACCACTTTGCCATAATGAACAATGTCGCGGAAAAAAGTTGAACGTCCAACAACAAATGACTGTGTGTGTGTATGTATACATGTGTATATGGGAAAACAAATATAATTACATTAAAGTAGATTCATTTAATGCATTTACTTTCGCATAGAGCTCATTAAAGCCACAAAATTGCGCTGAACCTACACTTACCTCAAATGAAGGGTTGCATTTTTTGCATGAACTTAAGTTTAGCGCGCTTTATTAAATCTAGTTTTAAAAGTTGGAGAAATTTCATTGCAAATTATATGCCTCAAAATGCGAATGTTGTAACTGGTGTGAAAGATTTTAATTTTTTACATAACTGAGTGAGTAATGACAAACATTTTTGCATGGCAAAAACATTCATTTTAATCTCGCTAAAAAGCCCTCAGTTTGCTTGCACTCTAGTTGAGCGATCTCTACTAAAGCAGTTGTTTTTCCACACGCTGTTATTATTGTTGCAGTTTTATTTATTCATAGTTGAAATGATCCGGTTTGGGTGAAATACGCACCGTTTTGTTCGACAACTTGTTGTCGTTTAGAGGGTATACATAATGCCACTCACATAGACACCCTCGTCCCTGCTGGCAAACAACTGGGACAGTCGATTGTCATAAGCTTCTGTTGAGACGAATTTTTCAACTTTCCTTTGTTATATACAGAAACAAGTAGCAATCACTTGGTTCCAAATTCAAACATTAAGTTGGATAAATAAGACTCAAATTCTCCGAGCTTCTGTTGAGTTACTACTGATGTGTGTGGCCTGACGTTTTACTGATGGTTTACAATTTTGCTATTGGCCAAAACTAAACACTTCTGTGCGATTGCTTACTTCAGACGGGTCAATTACTTACAATACAGTCCCAATTAAGTGTTTCATCGTCAAAAAGAAGCTCTTAGTAATTGATTCCTAGCCGTTCTCGCCAAACACTTGGCAAATCCTTCCTGACTGTACCTCCTGGCTTCACCACTACGTTTTCGCCGGCTCACTGCGATTCCAATGCTTTCGCTTGACGTTGTAAGTTACACCCTTTTAATCATCAGCAATAATCATTTTCCCGGTCACGCATATATGTATGTGTGTTTTATAGGGTCTTCCTTTCGGATGCTACAAACTTCGTACCGAACTTAAAGCACCTTGTTCAGAGTACAAAAATGTAGCCGAAATTCCATGATATACACCGGAAACCTTTATTTCTGTTTCCAAGTGTCAGCGCTCCATTTCTTATCTGACTCCATTAGCCGTAGCCGTTTTCATATATCCAGTATTCGATGCTGTGAATTGGAAAATAAGAAAAGCTGCGCCTTCTTTTTACTCAAACTATTTTTCTGAAGCAATTTATTCCAACTGTTCTGCTTTTAGCCTCTAAGCTCCCGACGTTCAGTCCACAGTCGCCCGTGTATTTGACTTTTAATCTTCTCAATTACAATTAAATGTTTTTATTCGCTTTTTATCCCGTAATCCGTTTAGCATTTGTATGCTCATTCATTCTTCATTTACACAAATGAAAAGAAATAGAACAACAACAACAATAATGAATGTGGCAAAACCATGTCATTTAGAAATCTTTGACTTCCTCGGTTGTCTTGTGCGCATGATTTGCACCGCCGCGTGATGAACGTTCATTTAATGAATGAATAGACGATTACCCAAATAGCTGCCGGCCGCTGGCTGATTGGCTCGACTAACCGCGGTGCTCCGAAGTTGGCAACAAGCGCGTCAGCTGCCGCCAGACCGATTCGGAGTTAATTGACAAAGTAAATTTCGCTAAGAATCTACTTATTGTTATTTAAATCTACTCTATGTCATGTGTGTCACGTCTTTGCTCTGCACTTCATTGCCATATTTCCAGTCTCTAAATTTCACAATTTTTTTATATGTTTTTATATTTGTTTTGTAGGTGCTCCGGCACTTTGTTATGCTTAATGAGTTAGAATTTTTTATGAGTCAGTTTGTTGTTGTGTCTCTTTTGTTGTTGTCAATTGACCGACTTGCCTGTGGATTGGAGCTTAGAAGAATTCTTTGAATTTATGCCCATAAATTTGCAGTGGAAATGGTAAATTTCTCTGTCGCGAATTAAATTATAATTTTTGGATAAAAAGTAGTGAACAGGAACTCCCACCATATCACTAAAGGTTCTCTTTTTGTGAAACTTTATAAATCGTAACTAAAAAATTGCTATTAAAAATTTAGTAGGATTAGATTATATTATAGTAAAATGGTTACGAAACCCACTTAGGCTTATGATACCCATTGGAACCACCTCTAAAGTAGTAATGAATGATAGTGGAAAGGAATATATGGCAGTAACTGAAAATATAATATGTTTCCGAAATAAAGTTAATAATTGTCTAATATTCGCTGGGAGTTAAGTATTCGGAGAAAGCGTTAATTATGGCATGGTATCTTCCTAATAAATATATACATAAGTAAATGTAGGGTTACCACACAGGGAATTTCCTGATTTTGACCTTCGGAACTAGTTCCCTGATTTTCGAATTCCCTGATTGTACATACATACATGTACATACGCAACGGGGCTGATTTTGACTGAGACGGACATGGTAACCCTATACTTGTATATATGCATATGTGCTAAAAGTTGCATTAGACCTAGAGGTCTAATCAGAGACTGCAGATACTGTCATTCTCCGTAGATTTGCCTCTAAAGCTGTCTCTTATACACATCTAGATGTGTATAAGAGACAGTGGTAACCCTATACTTGTATATATGCATATGTGCTAAAAGTTGCATTAGACCTAGAGGTCTAATCAGAGACTGCAGATACTGTCATTCTCCGTAGATTTGCCTCTAAAGTGTGGCAACATGATCAAGTATTGGTTACAGAAAGAACATCGGTTTTATATCTGATCATCATCAACATTCTTTTAACTTGATATTTTTTCCTACAGAGATTCAGTACGAATACTGGCCTTTGGTCGTATAAATCTTCTCAACCATTTTTAAATCGTGTAAACCACGTTTAAACTTAGGCACGTCTCATTCAATCCTCCCCATAAAATATTTTCATAAAAAAATCAATTTCTTCTTGACCTTATTGACCTTATACAATTTCAAAAAACAAAAAAAATCAATTTCTTCTTACGAATTTCGAAATTGGCCCTATACAATTTCCAAAAAAAAAATCAATTTCTCCGCTTTTCGAAGTTAGGCTTTAAATTCGAAAAATTGCTTTGGAATTTTCGAATTGAGCTCATACAATTTTCACCTTAAATTTTTGCAAAAAAAAAAAAATTAACTTCTTCGCTTTTCGAAGTTATTCCTAAGTTCGAAAAATATGCTTGCGAAAGTTAGCCTTTAAATCTGAAAAATTTGCTTCCCAATTTCGAAGTTAAGCTCATACAATCCTCACCATACAATTTTTTCAGAAAAAAAAACAATTTCTACGCTTTTCGAAGTATGCTTTTAAGTTCGAAAAGCTTTCTTTCGAAATTTGCTTTCGAACTTCGAAATTGAGGTTATAAAATCCTCCCCATACAATTTTTCAGAAAAAAAATTAATTTCTCCGCTTTTCGAAAAGCCTTTAAGTTCGAAAAATTTGGTTTCCAATTTCGAAATTAAGCTTATATATATATATACTTCGAATTTCGAAATTGGGCTTATTGAAAATTTCATTATTAAATTCATTATAAAAGTTCCGAATACAGAAAAAGTAGTTTGAATATCGAATATACAACTAGCATAAATTAATTATACTTTCTGAAATTAAGCAATTTGACTTAATTGAAGTAGATAGATGGATTGTTTCTTTTACATGTTAATGTCTTTTTATACTTATCACTTGACTCATTGATTTACTCTTCTTTCACTGTGCTTTACGGCGTAAGTTGAAAATAAGGACCACTTACACTTTATTTGCCATTTTAGTTTCATTTACATTACAAATTTTTGTTTACATTTGAATGCCGCTAAAGTAATGAGTGTTTAGACAGCAGGGCAATGATCTTTTAACTTCCGCGTCTGCTTGACGCTGATGGCATGGCTTATCTCACTAATATCCGATGTGAGTCGTGCCTTGTCCATTAAACGTAAGCGAATGGGCGTGCGCGACGGCCACAAACAGCTGAGGAATTTGAAAAAAAAAAAAAAAACAATTTGTATGTATCTATATAATGATATGATAATAGTGGTGCTATGTAGCAATGACGGCGGAAGTATAAACGTTACAACAATGAAATGTTGCTGCCTCACAGTCTCCTAAGTGAATTGGGTCATTGTACATAGTAACAGCAACAGTAGAATAATTATGGCGGCCAATTACCATTGATCTTATGCAGCTGTTGCTGTTTTTTCTTCCTACCGCTGACGTGTTATTGCACGTTATACCACTGTCATTTAAATGTCAAAGAACTTTGGTTTATAGCATATTTCGCGCTGAATACTATACTGTTTATTTATTTAATTACCTTTTGTTTGTAGTTTTTTTATGTTTTAAGTTTCGATTTCGAATATACTGTTATATCTTAATTTGCTTTTGTCACTTTGCAGATACACAGAGCGTCATCGACGAAGGTAAGCGAGAGGCGTGCCAAGAAAAGGAAAGAAATTTCTACTTTCCTCTTCCCTTTTGTCTAATTAACACTCGTTCAATGTTTTTTGTATGTTTGTATGTGTGCCAACTAATATTGTATGCTCTCAATTTAACTACATCGGTTGTTTTTGGTTGTTGTTGTTGTTGTTGCTACTTTGTGTGCTACGCTGCTGGGAGCTTGCGTTGCCTTGATGACCGGGTCATGATAACAAGTGTCTTTTTAGCGAAAGCAAATTGGCACAATTTGCACATTGCACCACCTGAGTCGTGCCGCTATCGACGTCACCGTGCCCAATGAATATGATATTGTGCCAATTTGCAACACTCACCATATGTCTACCTACATATGTATGTATAAATAATTGTGTGTATGTGTGTGTGTGTGTGTGTGTGTAAGGGCGGACGTGATGCCGTTTGTATTGTCAAAATCACAGCATTTCAGTCGATTTATGTGCTCGTGCTCGTGTCCATTTGTGTTTTCATTTCTTTTGTGCCGTTTCATGTGTCCACTTTCATCACCACTCATATAATAACAAGTGTCTGTCGCTGTGTTTGTGTGTTCTTCGTCGACATTGTAACTATTCGCTGTTTGCTCACAGCAAACAGCCAACTAACTCCATACATACACATATACATATACCCGGCCTTTGGTTATTGTTGCTATTGTCAGGTTGTCAATCAATTTACTACTCGCTGATATGTTTGTACCACTAAAATAATGCAAATGTTACGATCTTTTGCAAATATACAAAATTAACACTTTCCTCTTAATTGATTCGTGTGTTGTTGTTTTTGTTTGCAGGTGAACGGTGATGAGAGCTGGCAATATGAGGATATTACATTGGAGCGTGGCAATTCTGGTCTTGGTTTTTCGATTGCCGGCGGCACAGACAATCCACACATCGGCACGGACACCTCTATTTATATAACGAAATTGATACCGGGCGGTGCAGCCGCTGCCGATGGACGTTTATGCATAAACGATATCATTGTGTCGGTGAATGATGTGTCTGTGGTGGATGTGCCGCATGCATCCGCTGTGGATGCGCTGAAAAAAGCCGGCAATGTGGTGAAATTGCATGTGAAAAGAAAACGTGGCGGTGGCGGCGGTGCTGCTGGCGGTGGTGGTGGTGACGCTACTGCCGCCACATCGGCCACATTGCCACGAAGTGCTGCCGCCGCCGCTGCAGCTGCTGCTGCCGGTCCGAAAGTGGTTGAAATCGATTTGGTGAAGGGTGGCAAGGGTTTGGGCTTCTCCATAGCCGGCGGTATTGGTAATCAGCATATACCGGGCGATAACGGTATTTATGTAACGAAAATCATGGACGGTGGAGCCGCTGCGGTCGATGGACGCCTCTCGATTGGCGATAAACTGATTGCGGTGCGCACAAATGCGGTAATGTTCACAATTATTCTCTTCCACACGCACATGTTTATTAACTGCATCATTTAATTGCATTTCAGGCCGAAACCAATCTGGAAAATGTAACACACGAGCAAGCGGTCGCCACGCTCAAGTCAATTACGGACAAAGTAACGTTGATCGTTGGCAAGACGCAGCACTCAGTCAGCTCATCACAGCCACAATTTGCGCCGATTAATTCGCATTCAACAGGTGCGATAAATAATATTGGAAAAACAGTTGTTGATTTTGCTCGTTCACCATCACCCTCAATCACCGCCAACACCACCACCACTACTACCACGTACAGCAACAACAATGTTAGCCACACAGCTACCACGAATAATATCAACAATAATATACAATCCTCAGTACCCGCCTCTTCCACAGCAGCTGGTGTTGGTTTTGCATCAACATCCAGATCCCATTCACCTTTGCCTCGTAAGACAAACGCATACATATACATACATTCGTACATGCATACACATACATACATATAAACAATCAAACATATACATATATGTATCTAGTAAACAAGTACATAGATATACTTGCAGCTGATATACAAGTACAATTACAAAACAGCTATATTTTCGTAATTTAGCTTTAGCGTTAAATCACTACAAGCTGTTTCGTTCAAATTAGTTTAACGCAAAGCATATTGTTGCTACTGTATTTCCGCAATAGACCTTACAGTTCTAGTTCATATTGATTTTATCTATATCTTGTCGCTATATCCCATATTTTTGCATCCAAAAGTTTATTATTTTAAGCCATGTGTTGGAGAGTGTGATTACTTTCATCTGCTTTTGCGCTGTAAACAAAGTGAATGCCGAGAATTAAGTTAAAATCACAAATGTGATGAGTTAATCAAAACGTTAAAGTGCCAAAATATTAGGATCCAACACACGACTGGTAGTAGATATATGTACATATATACATATATATCCGACTGATTTTCCCTTATGTCAATTTGGAAAACTTGGCTTCGAGAAAACGTAGTTTAAAGATTGTGGTTAAAAGTTGGCCGGCTTGATGTTAATCACTTCCAAGTGGTATATCTTCCACAATTTTTAAGAGTGGCTCTTGACCATATACCTATCTATAAAGACAACAAAAATAATTGATGTTTTGAAACGTTTTTGAGAACTTCCCCCATAAATAAATATACTAAACTTCCTCTCCAGATGTTTGTAATCTCACTATCCATGTGCTGAAATACACCAATACAATAAATAAAAGATTTACTTTATTAAACTAACACTGAAATAGGCTAAGTACTCACATATACATACATACCTTCACATGCAGATCAGAAATATTCTTGAAATTGAATGCCTCCAGCATTTTTGCGTCACTCCATTTGTGTGCCGCGCTATTTTAGCACTTTCCTTTTTTATTTCGCTAGCGCTAAACTTAAAATTTTGAAATATTTTATAAATATTATAACTGCAAAGGAATTTAAGCATGCTAGAACGCAATGTAAGCACATGCATATAAGCGCAAACACACATATGCAGCTTCCAAAAAGACTGAATAGTTTTTTATTTTTTATATTTTTTCGATTTGTCTTAAGTGCAAAACAAATGTGTATTCATGTGTGGCTACTGTAAATAGCGAAACTGTTTTATTATTCGTTTGTGGTCACGTATTGTGCATTAGCACTGCGCTGCGTGCATGAATTCGACAATGCCTCGCGTCCACGCAAGTAGCCCCCAGCTGCTTTGAGACGTTATTTCACGCCAATCGTAAAATTTATATAAACTTAAGAATTTTCTATTCTCAATTTTTTAACTTTGCTTTATGTAACCACAAGCACGCTGAGGGAATTTTTAACAAGCAATTTCTTAGAATTAAAAAAAATTAACTAAATTAAAATAATTATTAACTTTAGACTATTTAGTTAGAATTAATTAAGTTAGTTAAAAGTGCGGTAAAATTACTAATTAAAATTTATTTTGGTTAAATTTATTTAGTAAAAATTAATTAAAAGCGAAGAAAAATAATAATTTAAAATTCATTTTGTTAAAATTAA